AATTTCATGGAGTTTACATTCTAATGGGAGTAGGATAGTGAATAAACATGTTAACATATAAATATATGTCAGGTTATGATAAGCACTGTGAAGAAAAATACTATAAGGGTATAGAAAGTAAGAAGGAGGAGATAGTATTGTAGCTAGAATGGTCAGGGAAAACATCTCTGATGAGGCATCATAAAAGTAGAGATTTGAATGAAGTGAGAGTGTAAGCCATGTGGATCTTTCTAGCCAATGGCAATAGTAAGTGCAAAGTTCCTGAGGCTGGAACATGCTTGGCATGTTTAAGGAACAATGAGGAGGCCAGTGTGGCTGCAGCAGAAATAGTGAAGTGTATAGATGAAGTCAGAGAGATAGCCAGACTTTTATTCTGAGTGAGATCAGAAGTTTTTGGAGGATTTGTAGCAGAGGAGTGACGTGGGCTCACTTAAGAATTACTCTGGATTCTGGGTTGAGAATAGACTGTGAGGAGCAAAGGTGAAAGTTAAAGAAAAAACGAAAAACCTTTGGAGCAAATAAGAGATGATGATGGTTTGGGTTATATAGACAGCAATGGAGGTGGTGAGAAATAGTCACAGTTTGACTACATTCTGAAGATAACACCCTGTGATTTGCTGATGGATTGAGGATGAAGTGTGGGAGGAAGAGGGTCAATGATGACTCCATGGTTTTGAGTCTGAATAACTGGAAGAATGGAGCTTTTGTTTACTAAGATAGAAAAGAGTGGGAGGAACAGATTTTAAGGTAAATATCAAGAGTTTGGGTTTTAGACATACTAAGTTTGAGGTGTCTATTAAAACTTCCCGGAGATGCCAATTTGATAATTGGACATATTAGCCTAGAGTTCAGGGAAGGAGGTGTGGCTGGAAATACAAATTTGGGGATGATAAGTGTATGGATGGCATGAAGGATGAGATCTCCCCTAAGAAGTGAAAATAGATAGAAAAGAGATCTGAGGACTGATCCTGAGCCCTCTAACAATTAGAAATCGAGTGGATGAAGAGAGACCAGCATGGAGAATGAGAAAAAAGCAGCCAGTAAGGTAGGAGGGAAAAAAGCCAAGAGGAAGTGGTATCCTGGAAGCCCAGTGAAGAATGTGTTTTGGGAAGGAGGGACTGATCAATGCTGCATCAAATGCCTCTTATAGAGAGAGAGTGAGCCAGGACTGAGAAGCAGTTATGGTATCTGGCAAAGCAGAGGCATTAGTGAACAGCTTCAAGGGATGCATGAGAATAAAAGCCTCATTGAGATGAGTTCAAGAAAAAATTGGAAGTGAGGCAATAGAGTTACCAAATATATTGAACACCTTCAAGGAGTTTTGCAGTAAAGGGGAGCAAGAGAAATGGAACTGTAGCTGGTGGGTGGTGGGGGTGGGGTCAAGGAGATCCTGATGAAAATGATCCAGTATAGGATCATTACCTGTTTTCTCAGTAAAATAAAGGAGGTCAGCACCTGAGAGTAAGGAGGGAAGAGAAGGTGTTGGAAGTTTGAAGAGAAAAGAGATGTGAAATAGTCATCTCAGAGGGCAGAAGTGTAAATTGACCAGAGTAATGCATTAGGAGAGCTCCACAGTACTAAGGGCCCAGTTACAATAGTGGTCATGAGTTTGAAGTGTGAAAGTTCAGAAGAGATGTATGTTGTTCTCCAGCCATGTTCCACTGCTCTGGTATAGGCTTGGCACATGTAGACAGTTGGATTTAACCAGAGTTGGGGTTTTGTCAGAGAGAAAGGGTCCAGGGAGTTGAGGGTGTATGCTAGGGAGTGGTTATTATGACCCTTGGATTCCAGGCTAGGTGTGGATGGAAGTGAGACATGCAGGAGTTGAAGGGCAGGTTCATCTCCCAGCCTGTTTCCTCCACAGATCTGTATGCCACAACCCATTTCAACGGTGACCCTGCTCTGCTGGCCAATGTAGAGCAACAATTATCCACCAGCCTTGGTGATTTAACACCAGCACATGGTTCTTTCCCAAACAACTCTGTCCTGGGAAACAGGACAACTCCTCTGCGGACACTGCTGTTGCCTCCTGGGACTTCAGAAGACAGAGAGATTTTGACCAAGAGGTCATTAAGCCCATCAAAGAGAGGATTCAAACGGAAGGACAATATCTTTGCCAGCCTGAATCCAAAGCATGGTTCCAGAGATGCTACAGGCAGTGAGGCAAGTGTTGGCTTGTTTGTGTTTGTGCAAGAAACATATCAGGTTCAAGACCAGTTCTGGTGGGGGGTGTTGG